TCTACCTGAAGCACTTCACATGATAAAAAGCAACCCTTAAGGACAGCAGAAATACCTTCCTTCATTTCATTTTCTCATTCACACAAATGCTAACTGCTCTCTCACGGGCTCCGTGATAGTAAACCCTGCGGGACAAAGTTTGCCAGCCCTCTTGTTCTGTCAGAGCTCCAGAAATCACACATGCTCCGTACCAACAGCCACAAAATAACTTTGTATTTCTGGAAACACCAAGCGTTGCATCTTCTCCAAAGAGGCCTGCACATATTGTCTCTTCTACTCCATGGATGCAGTACAGTTTGTCAGGGACCTGTAGACATGAATACAGCTATGGTTAGGGCATGGGCTGGAGCAGAACCATTTGAACTGTGAATCTATTGCCTCAACAGACAAGGTCACTGGTGTAATGCCTCCGGAATGAAATCACTGCCTGCCCAGGGAATTCAATCATCAAAAAAACCCAGAACTCACAATGACTATCTTCTTTGAAGAGATTCCCCTGTTTCAATTGTAGGAGAATTGCAGTATCCCAGCAAGGAAATTTTGCACTTTTTTTCTTGCTAAGTAACTGTTACAGAGTGTTTGAGTTTCTCTTCTTTCCTTGCCACGTTGCTTTTGGTCCCACCAAAAGAGGTATAGGTTAATCCTTCTGAGCAGAAACTCTAGCACCTTCACATAGGACTCAAAGAGAGAAAAATGCTGGGTTTTGAAGATATCTCCACACCTTCAAATAAGGAATAGTCTTGCAACAACGAGTTTGTGCCAAGAAGTTGATACCTGCGTGGTCAAACCATTTGCACCAGGAGGGTCAATATGACTGTCCAGACAGGGTGATGCACCACAGCGCAGGTGACCAATTCATTAAAACCTCTCTGCCACCTACCTGGAAACCCCCACACAACAGCCTTTTGCCCCACTGGATCACAGCATCTGAAGATGTTTTCACCTAGCAGGAGCAAAGCGAGCCTCCCAGGCCGTCATCATCTTTCTGGCTGCTCACCACCAGCACAGACATCAAGGAAGACTTTCCCTTAGGGACAGTATTTCCAAGTACTCGGGCTCTCACCAGCATCCTATGGGCTCTTCTCGGCCTCTTAAACCTTTCCAGGGAGGCTTAAGCCCAGAGGAAGCATAGTATCAGTTGGTTGGCACGGTACAATTTGAGGGATTGGGGGCTGATGGTCTGGCCCTTTTAAGAAAAGGTGTAGAAATAAGAGAAGGTCCTGGTTTAATCTTACAGGGTAGTCAAATACTAATCCTATTGCTCTTTCTGTGAGAGATGGTAGTCCCTCCGTGCTGCTCCAGGAGGCAGAGGGATGGAAAGCAGGCTCAAAAAGACCGTGTCCACTCTTGCAGCTGGCACCAAGGGAGCACATGGGCTCAGGGACCCTCAGTTTAAGGTGTCAGCAAACCATCAGGTTTGCTGAAATCCACCCCCGGACACATTCATTCTCCTGATGAATTGCCCTGACAGAGTCCTTTCCTCCAGGGAAGCTTGTCCTTCCTGTCATAGCCTGGAGAACGGGGAAGACAACTGGGCCTTTATGAGCGGAAAAGTAACAGGATCCTCAGCTCCCAGCATTTAAAGTCATCCATTGCCTAGAGACTTCAGTGAATCGGTGAGCATTGCCACCATTATCAGCAAAGGATCTCCACTTTGGTTTGCAGTGAGGTGGTAGGAGGAGATTTAAGACCTGATTTGAAAGACAAAAGGATTTTTAATTCTTCTTACCTACTTGAGTAAGATGAAAGAAATACATATTAGAGAAAATAAACGGGAAAGCATCATGTTCTCTCATCCTCCATGCTTCACCCACACAGTCTAACTTGGAAACTGCTGGGGCAGAGACCACAACTGAAACAAGCAGGACCGTGGCCTCCAGCACCGGAGAATCAGGATGCCTGCAGTTCCCAGCTGGCTTCCACCATACTAAATAATGAAATTAAGACAACAAATAAAGCACCATATTGCATCTTGCAAATCCTAGCTCTCCAAAACGTGCAAAGGAGATGTTTTGAGGAAGGTTGTGTGGTGGGTTGGTTGTTTATTAGACCGATCAGTGGAGAAGAAAGAAGGAGGACTGTTCGATCCCAGATTATTTTTTGTAAACAAAGGTGGAGGTTGGGGAAAGGATAAAAGTACGAAGTGGACAAAAATAATCAAGTTTGGAAGAAAGGATGCAAATTAAACAGGCTTGGAAGGAGTTTGTACAGCGCAAGCAAGACACAGAGAGCAAACTCAAGTTAATTACTTTTGACACGATCAGATCATCTGGTTGCGTTTCAGGCTGCGTGCACTCCAGGCTGGCCAACATGAATGGCAAGGGAAAAGAAAGTAACTCTCCCCTCTAGGTCCCTCTGCCAAGTCTGGACTGCGCGCTCTGTCCGAGATCCCTCTTTCTTTGCGCAGAGAGAGAGGGGGGGAGAGGAGAGAGAAACACAGTTAACCACCTGTCAGGGCTGAGGACACAATAAGGCAGCCCCCAAAAGAGCTTTTCATGCATGCGTAATATATTTGTTCAGCTATTCACTTAATGAAGCTGATAAATGTGATGCGAAACAATAGTCAAGTTAATCTATTTAGTAAAATGTTTTGAGACTCTCAGGCGATGTTAAGGAGGGTAGTGTGTTCGGGGACATTTTCATTTCAATACTCTCATCTCTCCCCTCTTAGGGGGGTTTCAAGCAACCTATGTGAATATAATTTCTTATAAATGTGTCTTTAATGGGTTTAATTCACCCTTGCCAGCTGTTTTTTTAGCTATTTTGTAAGAGCAAAACAAACGTGCCAGGCTTGGAAAGCTAGTTAAAATTAGTTTCGGTCACTGGGGCCAAGCTATATTTCCTGCAAACCATCTGCTTGATTGGCACAATAGAAGGATTTTCAAGAAAAGGGGAGGGAGGGGGGATCTAGAAGAGCTTTGAACGGACCAACAGCTACTGTTCCTTGCGCTTGAATTCTAAAGGTGAAGCCTTAGGTGCCTGACAGGGCTTCGCCCCCGCTCCGGCTCCCGCCGGTGTCGGTGAGCATCCTTGAGGAGCTCGGGCGCGGAGCATCCCTCCCGCCGCCCGGGGAGAAAAGGAGGGGGGAAAAAGGGAAGGAAAACGTGTAAACGCACACCCGGCCTCACCCCCCGCTAACTCCGCTTCTTTGGAGACCGAGGAGC